GCTTCAAAGTAGTGAGGTAAAAGGAAGTTAACTAACTATGGAACCTTAGAATTGCCACTCAGGCCCTTAGTTCACCTTGCAAATGTTCTATTAGGTACAACTGGAATAAATCACTTTTTGGAATTAGAAGCAGTTTGTTCTTTTGTGGCCTCTTTTTTTCTGGGCATCTATAAGAAAAGTGCAGAAGGCCAGTCCCTTAAGTCCTACAAAAGCCCAATTTCAAAGGACTGAATTTCATTCAGACTGGATCCTGCAAAGCAATGAGCATTCTAGCCCCTACCCTGCAAAGCACATGTTTAAAACAGCAATTTGGAGAGTTAGACAAATGTTGAATTTCTGTACTTGGTGGTGTACGAACTCTGTGACTGCTGCCCTAAAGTTAGAGAGGCTAATACTGCAGGTAAGAGTCAGGGTGATTTACAAAAACAGATTCTCTAAGTAGAGCCCAATACAGGTTAATGCTGAGACATCTTCTTTCATTGATGGAAGCACTTTTTAAGGAGAATGCAATTGGTTTAATCTCCTTAAGTACATGTAAAGAGCTGGTTTTATACAAAAATCCTATATATTTAGTTGTGGATTCCTAACTCAATGAAAAGGGCTTTGGCAGTAAAACTCATTAGCCGTAACGATGGATGGAAACATAACTAAAGGTCTGAGCATCCAGCCATGGGTCATATCAAGACCAGAACTTGCACCTGTTTAGACCAAGTCTGAACCTGGCTCTTTTCCCCCTTTGAAAATCTAGGTAAAGAGTTTATTGGCAGGGACATTTGAGGAAAAAGCAATTTGTAAGCAAATATGGGAAATGCTCACAGAAAGCAAATTCTGAATTTTTAAACACAAGGATTGGAATCGAGTTTTGAGTCCAAAGACTTACACACATCCTGCGTGTCTACCCAAAACTAGCCAGGTTTTAGCACGTACTTTGAACAAACGGCTAGTGAACAATAGCAAATACTTGGAGCAAACTTCTCTGCTAGTGGACAATACCCAGACAAAGACTTATCTGCTGAAATTTCGTAGTAAATAATTTTGAATAACCAATGAATTTGATAAGGTCAATAGCTGCTTTTAGAAATCCGCAAACAGCAAAAGAGAAAAATTCGTCATCTGAGGTCCCAATCCTGCAGGCTCAGATGTGTGGGCAGACCCGTAAGTCCATATGGAACCCCACTGCAATCTCCTTTGAGTCCTCGTTGGTATGTGAGCTTGCAGAACTGGAGCCTACATTATTGACTGTGAACTGCTCTCTTCACTGTAATCCCCCAGAGACATGCGTTTGCTGATTATGCTAAAATAAGAATTAGCCCAAACCTTTACTCAAAACTTGAACTGTTTGGTCTAGACAGGAATTGCCGCTATCAAAAGGTGATGACTAAAATCATGCTGTCCCTCTGACAGTCCTGCACAACCCCAGCATGACAAAGATGTTCTGTGGTATTAGGGGCTAGTGCTATGTCACGGGGCGTTCCTGCCAACATGCACTTCTCCCTGCGACAGCTTTCTAAACTGGCAGCACTCGGGGTTGATCTCACAGAGCTGCACTGACCTGCCAAGTGATTCTTGAATAGCACCATATCAACTGCATTGACCGCAAAGAGGGGAAAAAAGGGTTAAGGGCACTGAAAGGGACAAGAGAAACACTGGGCTGTGGAGCCTGGCCTTCTAAACAGCCACAGAACATCCCCTAAAGGAGAATGCATCATCAATTAACGAGTGTACTAGCTCACGCTGGGTCAGACTGTGGCCACCTCCGGGGTGTGTACACAAAGGGATCTTCCCATTCCTTTCCTTTCCTTACACTCCTATGCCCTTGTCCTAGCCATCCAAGGGGCCCACCGTCACCCTGCCTACAGAAGCGACAGCAGTTTGCACTCCCTTAGAGGTGCAGCAATGGGCTTGAGCTCCTCCATTCTTGCCAGCTCAGGCAGGCCGTTTCCCAATGCCTTTCCATGCTCCACACCGCCCCCAGCATGGGGCTAGTGACTTCGAGAACTTTTTATTTTACAGATTGTTCTCCAATCAGCTGTCATGGTTGGGCAGAATTCATGATCACCTTTTAAAAGAAAGGAGGCCATGCTACAGCTAGGAAAAATCCACATGGGGCCAGGAAACCATTCAGGGAACATCCCAATTGTCACATTGGGGATGGGGTTTGCCTTCTGCGTAGGAGGCAAGGGACAGGTCACGTCGTGAGAGAAATCACATGGATCTTAGGTTATGGGCAAAGGATGGGGACAACTTCATGTAATCCCTTTGTCAATGCACCGCTTCCTATTCCTCCCTCTCCACAATGGAAACATGGCTGCTTCTGGAACTATGCCGTTGTGGTTGTGCCCAAACTGTGCCCCTCCACCCCCAGCCCAGACAGTGGGGTTTTCAGAGTGTGAAGGGGGGACCCATAGGACACAATGCTAACTTGATCACTGCCATCTCCAGCAAGGTAATCCCCAGGGGTTTTCATGGGGAAGATGTCACAGAATACAGCCATCTCCCAATCCTGTCCCCAGCGCACAACCTCAACAGCCACAGAGAATCAGCCCTACAGAACAATGGTGGGGCAGATGAGGAACTGCTATCCTATTCCACATCCCCTGAATTGCAGTTCCCTTCTTTTCCCATTAATAGAAGCGAATGTATGCCCTTTAATAACTACCCTTGGAGTCAAAGAAAGAGTTCAGTGGTCATGAGCAGGGTATTAGCTACTTTGATTGTGCCAGGCACAAGAGAATGAGAGAAATAGGGGCAGCTAGTCTTAATCTATATCAAAGTTAATAAGGGTGGAAGAAAAAAAAGACGTCAAGGACAATGTTGGAACCAGCTCTTTTTATCTGTCTCTTCAAAGTCCATTCTTTCTCATCCTTGATAGCTCTCACATTACATAAGGGGACATTTCTATCCATACTGTATTATAATTAATAGGCTACTGCTAAACTTTACCAGCTCCTACTTAATAGCATTTCAGTGCCGGGAAACAGTCATCAGGTAATCTGGCCATGATCTACTGTATCCTTTCTAAACACAGATTCTAACTGCCAAGTGTGTCGCCATAAAAAGATTTCAATCAATACCACTCAGCTCCTACTTTCTAATGTTGCAGGTCTGGCAAGATAAGAAAAACAGACCAAAACGAGCAAATGGGGATTCATTATGGCCTCATCCTTCAATTGCATATGCACTTAAGTAACTTTACTCATATGAAAAGTTCTCATTGAACTCAACGAAGGTACCCATGTGCAAAAAGGCTACGCACTTGTGCAAATGTTTCCAGATTAAAGCTCTGTTTTTGCAGTTCACTTTCAATAATGATTGATATAAAAAGGGTTGGGTTTCATGTTGGGTTTAAGCTTACTTTCTGTAGAGCAATCAACTCAACCTACAGGATTTTGACTGGGGCGTCTGTCTTGCATTGTCAGAAAAAGAAAAGGGAAAAAAAAGAGTTTGCATTGTTCTTGTTTGGTCTGTATTTAAATGGCCTGATCACACCAGCTTTTTTTTTTTCTTCCTGCAGTGAAATTAGTAAGCGTCAATAATACTAAATCAAACTACCCTTAGTGCCTCTAGCTCATGTACCCATTTTCCTAAAGTGTGAAGTGATATCAAATCAAATTAGCAATTGTTTTTCCGCATGGCTTTCACACTCTCCTAGAGCAGAGGGGGTGCAGCAAGATCTGCAAGGGCTTCTATCCAAAAAAGAAAGAAGAATTAAGGATACTAGGTAGTCACTGATTCAGCAAAATCACAAAGCAAAGGATTCATTGGAGAGGTGGCTAGCTAGGGCCAGATCCTGAGCTGGTGTAGCTCACAGTATTCCATTGAAGTCAACGGAGCTCTGATGATTAATTAATGCCAGCTGATAAACTGGCCACCAGTGTTTTCCGAGGTGTAAGCCTTACTTTAGGCTGCTGCTGAGAGGCTAATCCGGTAGATGATCAGATGAGACAGTTTTTGATATATATGTTTTAAAGAACACTTTGCTACTAGCACATCTGCAATGTTAAAATTTGCCATGTTAAAAAACAAATTATTTTAGACCAGCAGCAGAATTTCTTGAGTCAACTTCAGAATTTGTATTCACTCCTAGGATATCTACTGTCCTAGAAGCTAGGTAAAAGAGTGTTATTTGTAAATGCTGTTTCTTAAAAACACATGGGGCAACTACCTAGGTATGGATACTAGGAGGTCTATAAGAAGCCAGTGAGTCAACACAATTACGGAATAACAGCAAATCAGCAATTCTAAAAACGTGCTTCATAAGTTAAGTAAAATAACATCACAGAACCTCAAACTTACCACAGGAGGCCCCAAGACTTATGAAACTAAACTCTTGTTATGTGGTACAGTGTTACACATACATATTGTATACATTCCACAGGGGAAGTAAACACAGAAGCCATGGACATAGCTCAGCCACGGAAGTAATTTTGCAAGGAATATTGACTTTGATTCGTGCTCCTAAATCCCTAAAATAAAAAAAAGAGTTTTGCTTTAAAAATAATTGTTCATTCTGTAGAATACAATTGCCCACTCCCCCATCTTCCCCACCATAGCTATACATTTGAAAGGGCTTTCCTCTGAAATGTTTCTACCTATTTGCCTGAAATTATTAATCTACAATTGGATGGGAACTCATTATGACTTTAAAGCAGCTACCAGAGTTGAGCGATACCCAACATATGACATGATGTACAGCTAACTGTGACAGAAATGGACTGCCTTTCAATTCCCACAAAATATGCAAGACAGATCACCAAAACAGAATGACAGCAACAACACAAAACTCTCACATCCCTTCCCTTCCTTCCTTCCATTCTTAAACTGGGCAGAGAGACTGAGGTTGGGTCCATACAATAAGGTTAATAATAATAATTAAACAACAGCAACAACAAACAACAACAACAACAAAAGGTGGGTCAATGAAAAGTGGGATTGTAAGTGCAGTACTTCTTCATGTGCAGTTCTTCTACTTCATAAGAGTCCCCTTTGGATGAGAAGGCCTAGTGGAATGTGTGCTCCCCTCGAACAATGTGCGACGAGAACTCATAGCGGTCCTGGCTTCGATACCCACAAATGTTGCATTCTAATGGGTCCCGGTAGCCATGACAACCCATGTGGATGGTGTACATGACGTGGTCTAGGAAAAGAACTCGACAGTGCTCACATTTGAAGGCCCTAATCTGCTCCCCTTCTCCATTGAAGACCTTATAGATATCCTTTAAAGAGCCCTTAGAAGCCTTTGTGGCATCCAAAGCCTTGGTGTCCTCCTTCATGTAAGCTGGGCTTTGCTTCCTCTTGGGATTTAAGGCAGGGTTTCCTTGGTAGGACTGGCGGTCTTCATGGCTGCTCTCCGAGTCAGTAGAATCCAGGCAGCTATTGCTGGGGGAGGCCTCTCTTTCCTGGGGTCGACTCTTTGGTCTGATGAGGGAGATAGGGCCATCTATGTTGTTTTCATGACTGTCAGCTGTTTCCCTGCTAATGGGCCTTTCTATCCTGTTAGGATGATAGACCTGAGCATAAGCTGAGCTGATGACTGGGGCCACCTCTGCAATTGTGCTTGGTGTGTGGTGCATCAGGGGGTGAAGTGCGTCAGCTCCAAGGTAGTTGATTGCATTGTTGATGGCTTGGTCCATCATGTGAGACTGCATCAGCTCAGCCTCTTTCTCATAGGTTAAGTTCATATCAAAGTGAATATCTGGATAGCCAAATCTCATGATCTTTTCACCTAAAGGAAAGAACAAAATGAATGAGAAAAAGAAAGTCACCTAAACATTCAACTGTAATAGAGAAAAACCCTGTGTTAGTCATAGAGTTTAAGGCAAGAAGGACCCATCAGATCCTCTAGTCTGACCTGTATATCACAGGCCACTACACACCACCCAACTGTCTCCACACTAGGCCCAACAACCACAATTAGACCAAGGTATTACAGCCCTCAGGGGACTAAACTATGGTGGGCCACAGGCAAAAAACAGGAGGGACCAAGGTGCACCGGTGCCTAGGCCTCTGCAGTGGCAGGGAAAGGATTAAGTGAGATATACCCAGATCATCCTAGCAGGCGATCCCTGCCCCACGCTGCAGAGGAAGGCAAAACTCCCCCAAGGTCACTGCCAATCTGACCTGGGGGAAAATTCCTTCCCAACTCCATATGTGGCAATCAGTTAGGCCCTGAACATGTAAACAAGAACCAGCCAGAGGAGAACCTTAGGGGGAGGGGGAGGTGAAAGCTCTGTACCACCTCAGAGCACCACCCCATCCAGTGTCCATCTGTAGTCATGGCCATCTCTGATGCTTCAGAGGAGTGAGCAATAACCAAACCAAACCAAACAACCAACCCAAACCCACAGAATACACTGGGGAAAAAAAAAATCCCTCACTGCCCTCTACAGATGACCGGCTGTGTTCCTGACTGAGGGTGCAATTCACCCCTGGGCAGAGGGACAGCACCAGGCACCATTCAAATGCCACTTAAGAACTTATGTGAGCCCTCTGCCCAGGGATGGAATTGCACCCTCCATGCAGGCAGTCTTGAGTCTTCACTCTAGATAAGCCTATGGCTAGTATGAATTCCAGACCTGCTGGAAACCATCAGATGATGTCCTCTGTGCTCCAAATGAGGAAATATGGGACCAGCTCCTCGACTGATGGAAAAGAGCGAAATTCTATTGACATCAATGGAGCTACACCAGTTTACACCACCTGATTATCAGGCCAAAGGTGTTTTCTTTTTCAACATAAGATTAAATCAGCCATGATGCAGAGGCACCTGTATGAGACACGTAACATGTCTCACACCTCACAGTGGGGCTGTATTGAGGGGGCTGTCTAAACAATGGCCATACAGGGCAGCAATACTGGGGCCTAACAAACCTGCAGACCTGCAAGTGTGCAGATGCAGTGGCCTGCAGAAGTGGTGAAGGGTGGTTGCATCTGCCCATAGACTGCAGTAGTGGATGCCGGTAGTGGGAGGCTGAGCTGAAACCACAGGTCCTAGGTTGGGGTTGAATTTTGCATTTCACTCAATTATTCAGGCTGAAAGAAACATCTCTTTTAGAGAACACAATCTATATATATATATATATATCAGGATATGTGATTTTGTTATATCAGTGTCTTAGTTTAGTTTATCCACAGCAGAGGCTAAATGAATATCACTTTCGCTGACATAAGTCAAGTCTATAAGGTATAATTTACCACTGACTGGTCCGGGCCAATGGGAGCTGCAGGAAGTGGCGCGGGCCGAGGGACGTACTGGCTGTCGCTTTCAGCAGCTCCCATTGGCCCGGAGCAGCAATCCGCGGCCAGTGGGAGCCGCGATCGGCCGGACCGGCGGACACGGCAGGTAAACAAACCAGCCCGGCCCGCCAGGGGCTTTCCCTACACAAGCGGCGGCCCCTGTTTGAGAAACCCTGGGTTATATTCTCAGAGTCCGCACATCACTTATGCTTGAGAACTCAGACCCTGAGACAGCAAACTACTTATGTATGTGCCTAATCTAAAGCACGCGAATAGTCCCACTGACTTCAATGTCATTACTCATGTGCTTCAAATCAGGCAACAAGTTAAAGCACCTGGATGAATCAGAGCTTTACTATGGCTCTCCAATGCTGACCACAGTGAGGTTATAATTTAGCACACACACACACACACACACACACACACACACACACACACACACACACACACACACACACACACACACACAAAAACAGGAGCTGAAAATACCCCATTTACTCAACAATATAGATGTCAGAGAAACAGGATGAGGAGAGGTAAAGCACAGGAAAATGATTGGCTTAATTATATGCGATAGGTTTTAGGTTGGTTGGTTGGTTGCCTTCAAAACCTCTCTTTTTAGGCTTTACCAACTGCAGGATTTTCTAGATTGACATTATATCCTTGCGCTGAAAGTGCTGCCAGTTGTGATTATTATCTTGCTCTGTGGTGAGCTCCTCAGACCTTGTTTTGGTTCCTTTCGCATGCCTCATTTAATAACTCCACCAGACTTAAAGCAAACACTCGAGTTGCTTAGCACTTGTATTGCTCTGTTCCTTCAGTTACGAACCAGAATGTATCACCGTAACTGTAAAGATCTTGGGCTGAGTTTTAAAAGGGAACGTGACATACAAAAATAAATAATAATGCAAAAATGTACAGGGACAGTACATTTTAATTCACCATATGCGCCACACAATACAAAAGAAACATTTGCCACCCATTTCAACACATATTAACATGGCTTTCATTTTAAAATAATTTCTTCTTGGTCAAATAAGTATTGAAAAGTAACTTGTCAGATTTATCTGTTGAGTTTCGTTAGGATTATGGGATCTTCCATTCCAATTATGCTCACTCTACATTAACTGAAAGATGAAACAGTTTATCCTTTAATTATCTTAACTGTGTATTACCAAACAAACCATATATTTATAGCCAGATCAAGGAACATAAGAACTGCAATACTGGATGAGACCTGTGCTCCATCTAAGCCACTATCCTAACTCAGTACCAGATGCTTCAGAGGAAGGTGCAAGAAACCCTGCATAGGCAATTATGGAATAACCCGACCACGGAGAAAGTTTCTTCCTTACCCCCATTAACTATAGGTTGGCTTATGCTTTAAAGCATGAGAGTTTTTAATCTCTTCTGAAACTCTTGTGTATTATTTAATCCTTACTGTAATATTATTATAAACCATACAAGTGCCCAATCCTCTTTTGAATCCTGATTAGTTTTTAGCGCCAACGACATCACGTGGCAATGAAGTTTACAATCAAATTGTGCATTGTGTGGAAGTGTGTTTCCTTTCATCGGTTTTAAATGTGCTGCCTTTTAATTTCATTGATGATCCCCTTGTTCCTGTATTAGGAGAGAAAGTGACTAGAAGTGCTCTCTTTACCTTCTCCTTACCATTCATTATTTTGTATACCTCCACTATTTCAACAGATCTCTCAAGAACTTCTGTGCCTCAACACTGGGTGCAACCATTCTCTTTCTCAGCAATTACTAGCACCATTTGCAGCATACCACTTCCCTTCCTTCTGAAATTTCAGCCAGAGCGCACGTATTGTGGTCCATAACCAAGGCTCCTCAGAGACTGCTGACCACAAAGTGCAGAAAAGCCGTGATAGATACAGCATGGGAAAATTCAAGCGTATGTTTTCATGACCTTCTCCTAAATACCGCTATACGGTGTTCAAGAAGTGCCACATTTGCAGTGTGCACAGGAAATGTTACAATGAGCAAGGGGACCGTCGTCAAGTCTTCCTGAGTATTTCATTTGGAAGGAATGGGACCAAAAGTGAGGTCATGGTAAGTGTGGTGAAAAGAAGACCTGCAGAAGAGATGAAACATTACTGCCTTTAAACTCATGCACAGCAATCCCAGGGGAGCGGGAAAGTCAGAACAATAAGATATCATTAATATCAATACAGTATGTTCCTTTTCCCCCCACAGCTGGATTTGGATAAGAACCAGGTGTCACCAGAGGCTATAACTTGCCATCCTCTCCACCCAGGGCTGGTGCAAGGATATTTTGCGCCCTAGGTGAAACTTCCACCTTGCGCCCCCTCGCCCCGTAACATTGGTTCATTGAGGGGCAAATCCCAACAAGCCTTTATAGACCCCAGGGGCCAGCCGTGCCCAGGGGCCAGCCGTGCCCAGGGGCTCCTCCCCAGACCAGGTTCCCCCCTCCCCGCCCCCTGAACTCTCCTGGAGGGTGCACAGCCCCCCTGTGAGCCCTTCCCACCCCACCCCGGCGGCCCCCGCCCCGAGTCCACTCAGTGGCTTTGCCAGGCTTGGGCCGCTGCAGCAGCTAGGCAGGGAGGAGCTGCCTTCTGGGGGCTCCTGCAGCAGATGCATGTGGGCAGAGGCCCCCGTGCATCCCCCTGGCTCCCCCCTCACGGTGCTCAGGCTCTGCCGCTCCTGGGAGTGTGAGCTGCCGCTGCCCCTCCCGGAGCAGGCTCAGGGCCCTGCCCCCAGGCGGCGGCTCACATGCCCGGGAGCTGTAGAGCCCGAGTGTGGCGAGGGGGGATCTGGGGGGCGCACGGGGGCCTCTGCCCGCATGCATCTGCTGCAGCCTGCAGGAGCTCCCGGGGCAGGCACCAGGCCGCAGCCTGGGCAGGAGAGGCGGGGGCGCGGCTGCTCCCCGCTAGCGGTGCCACCGCCTTTGCAGGGCTCCTGCTCCCCTGTGCCGCGCCAGCTCCTCCCTGGCTGGGGCTCACCGCCCCCGCAAACCAACGCTCTGGCTCTCTGGTGCCTCCGGAAGGCGGCTTCTCCCTGCCGAGCCAGAGCACCACTTTTTGGCGCCCCCAGGGTCATCCTTAGGATTTATGGGGCCCTATGCAGTATTATTAAGCTGGTGCCCCTTTGCCCGACGGCAGCCTGAGGGGGCGGAGGGACAAGACAGAAAGAATAACAAGACGCCCAGCCCGCCTCACTGTGGCGGAGAGTCACAGTTCCCCACAGAGACCCCTGTACCCTCTCCCTCACGCAGAATGGACATGCAGAAGGTACCTAATTAAAAGCACTAAAATTGGGAATAAAAAAATGTCAGTCACAGGTTTTTTGATATGCCCTGAAGTTTGTCAGACATTTATTTGCAAAAACTTTGTAGTAAGGGTGAGTCAGCTGTCTTGCTGAATACGACATTAAATATTATGGAATACATGATGCAGCTCTTCTCTGTTTTACATTTTCTTAATCAGTATTTCTAAGCTGATTTTACATTTAAAATGTACTCTTAAGCCTTCATAAAGTAATCATATTTAACCCACTGAAACAGACATTATTTTAAATGAATCAGTCACAGAGGTTTAGTGTGTTCATAACAATGTTCATTGCTTTTAGAAAAAGGGAACACTCATTTACTGTGTGTGATCTCCATAACAATACACCTGTTTATGAAATTTCACCAACTTTAAAAAATATGTTTCCAATTTTAGGGATAACAAAGGACTTTATATCTTACTAAGGTACTGATTTTGCTTAAAACTAGTTCATCAGATAGTCAGAAGTAAAGAAAGGGAAACTCTTTGTTCAGCTATCTGGAAGCAAAGGGCTGTTGCTTCCTTCAATTGGGGTGGGGGGGGGGAAGAAAGGGGGTGAAGGGAGAAATGGATGGACAGAAAGGACAGGAAGACTTTGGAAGTAAGTTTTTTTACTATAATAATTAAAATGTGTATTTTAGATAAGGGTGGTCTTTTGAAGAATTTATTTAAAAAACCATATGTCTGAAGATCCAAGCATTTAAGGCTAAAGATGATTGTGCATCTAAAAATCTATGCAAGGATTTTTTAGAGATGTGATTTTATAATCGTCACCAACTCACTAATGAAATATTTTTAAAGCAAATTTTACACTAAGGTCCTGTAGACTGACATGTTCTGAGTAAATATGACAGTCATGCACAACTGTTTTTGTCAGTACATTCAGAAACTGACAGTAGATACCTGCGGGTTGGCAAATGCCTGTTAAATGTCTTCATTACTCCTTGAATGGCTCTTTAACAGTTTCAGTCTTGTGCTAATAGGTCTGGCAGGCTGGAGACTGTTTCTCTTTTAACTACTAGATCCCCTTCCCAGGAAGACTCAGAGCCGGCAGGAAGGGTCAGAACAGGGATAGGAAAACCAGGAGGGTGGACATTAAGACCCAGTGGTGCCCCAAATTTTCAGGTGCCCTACCCAGCTGCCTATGCCTGAGGACAGCCCCGGGCGCCCCCAACCACTTGCCGCCCTAGGCCACTGCGTAGTTCGCCTAGTGGTAGCACTGGCCCCGTCTCCACCCTTTCTCAGAGCCAGTGGATTTGTTGGGCCTAGAGGTGAATAGTCTCAATCTTACAAAGAAAAAAAATCTACCCAAGATAATGATAACCATTTGTACTTCTATAATGTATTCCATCCAATGATTTCAAAGCACTAAGCAGGCCTTTAAAGACAATGATAGTTTGGGGTTCTCACAAGTGGGTAGACAAAATGAATCCTCTATGTTCTACAGAGTCCACAATCTACATTTTAAAAGAACTCAGTTAGTTTAAGCCACCCAGAACATGGGGATGACTCAGAGTTATCTCGATCCGTGCAGTGAACTTCAAAGGAGCAAATGGTGCTGGTTCATGGGGACGTTTTTCCTCTGGTGGATTTCATAGTGTGCTTGAGATTTTGTTTTAAGTCTCTCTCTAGCCTTATGGTTGCAAAAAGAATCCTAAAAATGTGCCACCAAAGCAATAATGTCTGCATGAGTCTGCGGATAATCTGAAACAACAGCTCTGAAAGAGGTGTGACCTGCCCTCCTTCCTTTCACCTGTGGTTGTAATCCTGAAGTCTAATGATGACAATTTAAGTGTCAACAATGTTAACTATGTCACTGTTGATCAAAGCATGTAAGGAGAGGGATGATCATATCAGGAAGATCTACTGTGAGTAGGGTCATGTTGTACCATCTCAAGTGGTCAGAGTTTGGTTTGTGGGTGGAGAACCCACTCCTTTTCCCCCCCTTCCAATTCAGCACCTAACTGTTGTATTGAGGACTAAACAATACCAGTGCCTCTGCACCAGTTCTTATGCACACTAATCCCTTCAGACCACTTTTCACATAGGCAACAAAAGCAAAAGAATCCCAGGAAACATATGCCTTTATCCAAGAAGTGCTAATTTTAACCCAAGTAAAAAGAAAACTCCACAACATTCTCTTTATGGGTCACATTGTTCCTGACCCTGTGCTGGTGCAAAAGGGAGCAGGAGAGAGGAGATGCAAAGAACTCAGCACAGTCTTGACCAGTGATGCACTGTAGGAGCCTAGCACTGCTGTCAGTGTTAGGGTACGTCTATACTTACCCGCTGGTTCGGCGGCAAGCAATCGATCTTCTGGGATCGATTTATCGCGTCTTGTCTAAAGGTGATAAATCGATCCCGGAAGTGCTCGCCGTCGACGCCGGTAATCCTGCTCCGCAAGAGGAGTAGGCGGAGTCGATGGGGGAGCCTGCCTGCCGTGTGTGGACCCGCGGTAAGTACCTTTAAGTTCAAACTAAAATACTTTGACTTCAGCTACGTTATTCATGTAGCTGAAGTTGCGTATCTTAGTTCGAACTGGGGGCTTAGTGTGGACCAGCCCTTAGACTCCTCATAGTGGACGGGATGAGAGTATGAGCCCTGAAAATTCTGCACCAGCAAGACGGGCCTCATACTGGGGGTGGAAAACATATGTTACCCCTTTCTAAAGCGTAGTGGAGTCACTGCTGTGACATGCACTTCCCCAGAAGAATTCTGTCCCAGTCCAAACACCAGCAGGTGCTCTTGCTGTAGCATAATGTCGCCCAACCTCCACAACAATGTGAGCTGCAGCATAAAGCCACAAGCTACAGCCTAACATGGGTAATGTTTACGACAGCATCTTGTGCTATAGTTTAACAAGAACTCCTTAACATTCTGAGGTATAGGAAACCTAGATACAAACAGTTAAGTCTGGGCCAGAGATTCTAAAATAAATGGCTAATAAATAAAAGTGGTCCGATGCGGTCTTGTATTTCATAGTTTCATGGAGTTTAAGGTCAGAAGGGACCATTAGATCATCTCATCTGACCTCCTGTGCAACATGTCCTTAAATTTCACCCAGTTATCCCATGTATTGAACCCAATAACTTGTGTATGAGCTCTGAAGGATCAAGAAATGTGTTGTTTCATTTGGAATAGGGGCTTCTTTTAATAAAAGCTGCAACGTGTCACTTTCACACCCATGCATATCAGGGAGGTAATTTCAGTGTTGCCAATTCTCACAGGTTTATCACAAGTCTTGAGTTAGTTGAGGGTTTATTTTTTAGCCTCCAGCTCCCAGAGTCAGGTGATTACATGAGAATCTCAGCTTTCACTAAACAAGTCTCTAGCCCTCATGATGGCAGAGAAAAGTTCGAAATTGTGACCCAAATGCACCCTAAAGGCTCAAACACCAAAAGGTAAAGAAAAAGACCCAAAATGTATATTTTAAAATCTCAAGATTTTGGGGCCCTGACTCATGAGTTTTAGGGTTGACAGTATTGTAATTCAGTCACTTTCAAATCACTTTTAGGTTGTTTTCTGCTTTGATTTAATCATCTCTCAACTGTTTCCCCTGCCCGCCCTCCCCAATCACGCTCAATTCTGAGAGTGCAGTTTTCCCCTTTGATCTTTTGACTGTTCTTAGGAGTTAACAAATAACCTATTCCTACTCACTAAGAATAATAAAAATGCTCTCTCAAGCTTACCCACAAACTTCTGTGGGGTGGAGCTTTTACGCTTTCCCATGTTGCTTGTCAGCTTCTCTATAACAGCAGGTCTCTCAAAAGGCACCAGAGAAATATTGTTGTCCATCCCAGGCTCTTGTTCCTTACCATCTTCCATAGGAGGTACTACGTAAAACCAAAAAGTCACATCAGACAGGTCTGGCTACACTTAAGAGATGGCACTAACTATTTTGAGCCCTGTAGACTATAGTGCATATTAAAATACCAGTGAAACAAGGTGCAAGGAATACAATTGGCAACGAAACAGCATTAAAGTTTGAGCAGTTAGGGCCAAATTTTCAAATGTGGGCCTCCGATTTTGAGTGCTTCCCTGTGGGAGCTGTCACGTGCATTGCACTTTTGAAAGTCACCCTTGAGACCTGATTCTCCGTTGCCTTCCACCGTGTGTATTCAGTGACACCAGTGCACAGTGAGCGTGAAGTGCTATCCTTGTGTGCTGGTAGCATTTTATACTCTCTTTGCTCCCTGTCAAAAGGTGCATGGCAATGAAGATTCAGGCCTCTTCTGGCTAAAGTTGAGCACCCAAAAATGGAGGCTTACAAAATCAAAGTCCTCTTTTGAAAATGTGGGCTTTAGTGTATATGTCCTTTTTCCATGCATGAGACTGCTACTCTTCCAGCCATAATGCATCCAATTTATAAGATCATCATCTCATCGTTTTCCGGTTTAGGTGAATGGCATAAAACAGAGGTTCTCAAACATTTTTACAGCCTCAATCACCAATGAATGTCAAGATGCCTTGTGGACATCTACCCACCCTCCTTACCCACTGAATAACATCCCTGTGGCAGCTACAGGAACTACTTACATGGAGGAGGAATACTTGGGAAATAGGTATGTATTTTCAGCTGTCTTTGAAGCAAAAAAGAGAAGTTTATGACACCTTCTGTTATTGCTTATTTCACCCTTCATCTAATGCCTGGTCTGATTCTCTCAGCTGGAAATAAGGAGCAGGCCCCAAACGCACATGAACAGCAAGTACTCCACGGACCGCCAACTACTTTTATGTGCCTAGCTGGAAAAAAACAAACTTATGACTGCTCACCTAATACTTGAGCAATACTTTGTTTTCTTGTGGTTTCTCATTTACAAGCACTAGAAGATTAGTTAATTTCAGTGGAACTATCTGACTGACTGTCACCAGCTGAGGATCAGGCCCACAATTTCTGAATCATTCCAATTCATCACAGTAGGCTGAAGAATTTATGCATGACAAAAGGCAATTCCAGTTGTTTCACTTGTTCCATAGCATTGAATCTAATAAATAGACTCATTGGCTCTGATTCATCCACAGAAGATAGCTTTGGTTGAACAAGTTCAACCATCAGTGTCTTTGTGCTAGTTGGAGGTTAGTAGCGCTATGATTATGATTTATACTTAAGAAAGATTCTTGGGCAGCAAACCGAAACAGGTTTCTGGAATGGCAGAACAAACAATTGCTCTAATCTGTATGACCGGAGGGCCCCATCCTGCTCTCCTTACTTAGGCAAAACTCCCACTGAAGTCAAAGGAAATTTTGCCAGAATAAGGGGAGCAGGATTGGACCCTAAATCTTCTATTGTTCCCTTCTTTTTCCTCACACAACTCAGTTCCCAAGGACTTTATCATGTACTCCTCACGCATGAGTGTAGTCTGTGTGGAGGCCACAAGATGATTCAGCACTGCATTACTCCATTGTGACTCCACTGATATCACTGCTAATGAATCTCCTATTCTTAAATACGTGGCGATTTGGTAGCACAATACACATTAAAATGAGATGATAAAAGCATTGCCTTTGCCTCCTAAAAAGGAAGAGCAAATACTCGGCAATTACGAAATAAAAGACCTGTTCTGGTGAACGTCTCAACTCAGACAATCAAGAACACGGGACAATTTATTCCTTTGATTCCATTTGTGTTTGTGCTGCTAGGGAAGCTGAATATTTTGAGTCTTAGAATCCAGCATACACTGTAAAATGATTTACGCTGCTGCCTTTTTATTTGTACAGGATGCTCCCACTGAGAAACACAATGATTTCTCATTTACCAGGGAATCCTGCTGGCACCAGTGAAAATAATGGAAGAGAAATAGCACAAATACAAGATGAAACCAATGTTTACAAAAATGGTGTGTGGTATGCAAGTGACCTAATTAATACCCAGTGCAGACTTCAAGGCTTGGGGTAACTAGGCTGAGCAGGTAGCAAGTATGAAAAATCGGGACGGGGGTGGCGGGGTAATGGGAGCCTATATAAGAAAAAGCCCCAAATATCGGGATTGTCCATATAAAATCGGGACCTCTGGTCACCCTAGGGGTAACAGACAGCAGACTAGATTTAGGAAGACTACTTAGGTAGCTTGGGCTGCTCCATAGAATCCTACATTAGGCCTATTTAGGGATGTATTGAAAACATGGGGAGATTTTCAAAGACACAAATGCCAACACCCGTGTCTTGGATAAAGGTATGTGAAATTTCCTAGGTGAAATTTGACCAACATACAACTGGACTTCTTTCTTCCATGGAAAGCGAGGAACGCGTTACAATGTTCACAGAAACATCTTACAATCAATACATTAGGCAAGGATTTTGCTCAGACTCCTCTGTGGAATATCGTCAATACAGTACCTGCTTTCATATTTCTGAAACTGATAGTAAGAGGGTTGCTCCACATTTAACAAAAGGTGGTGACTCTATTATCTGGTTCAAAACGAGACTAGGGCATGGGACCTTTGCCAATGTTCCAAGCGGAAACATTACTGTTTCTGACCCTCTCCAATATTTATGGTACTGGGAAGATAAATTGCCAAAATGTGGTTGGTTATGTAGATTTCAGAAAAAGCAACAGCAACAAAAACAACCACTCTTAATTTGTTAAACCACAGGCAAGTCAAGATTAGATTGGTTAGATGTTGCCAGCATGGAAACTTGAAAGGTGAAACTGAACATCATGTCATTGCAAATATTTAAAATCGAGATCTATTATTTGATGTTTTTAAAAAAAGGAATGCATCATATACGTTAAGAAACAACTGACAAATGAGTAATCAGATGCCTATTTCCTGTATGCTGTAACATGAGGCACCCTGTTTGGATTTGCTTTTAATTTTAAAGGGGAAAAAAAAATCAATACCTAAGTAAAAGCCAAAAACCAAAGTCCACATAATTCACTGAGGAATATTAGTGTTATAAAATAGAAAAACAAACCAAGAAAGATAACACATGCTCACAACTAAGGCCCAAGTTCTGCAAAGCATGTCTATTCAACAAATACGAAGTCCTGCAAAGGATATGCTTAAGTGCTTTTCTGATAGGAGAAGGACTTAAGAAGGCACTTAAGTGCTTTCCTGTACTGGAGCCTAAGCAAAGATGTTGAGTGTCCTCTGACATTTGCAAGAGAGGATATTAAAAGTAACACTAACTTGTTAGCCCATCCTTTCAGTACACAGACCTAGACAGTCTTCAGGGTGACAAGAGTTGAGGAACACTGCTTCAAAGCCTCCATTTCCTTGAAACTAAGGGGACTGTAGATCAAAAGGCTGGACAACTTTTAGTTTGGGGTTTTTTTTAGTTGTATGAAATCACACACATGTAATAGGAGTCTGTGTATAATTTGAGCAACAGAGAACACTGCATAACAAAAGTAAAAAACAGTCACTCAGGACATGTTTAGTCCCTGAATGTTGTTTGAAATAGTAAAGCTATGCTGGTTTACATCAGCTGAGGCTCTTGACCCTCAGCCTCCTTTGCTCAGCTCACATTAACGATATTAAAAAAAGAATGACAGGGGAAATTCTCATGAATCCTGGTGGGAAGAACTCCCTGGAGTCGGCATTGAAACCCAAATTCTACTCAATTATGTAGGAATAAAAGGACCCATCATCTGTAATGTGTCAAGCTGACTTTTGGGGGTTGCAGAGGACTGGACTCCCTCTCTTTGCTTATTTATGACCCCAAAAATAAGAAAGAGTAACCGTGAAGCATCTGTTTTGAAGAATTTCTCTAGCCTTTTTCTCTGTGAAGATAAGAACGGCCATACTGGGTCAGACCAAAGGTCCATCTAGCCCAGTATCCTGTCTTCTGACAGTGGCCAATGCCAGGTGCCCCAGAGAGAATGAACAGAATAGGCAATCCTCAAGTGATCCATCCTGTCGCCCATTCCCAGCTTCTGGCAAACAGAGGTAAGGGACATCATCCCTGCCCATCCTGGCTAAAAGCCATTGATGAACCTATCCTCCATGAACTTATCTAGTTTTTTTTTTTTAACCCTATTATACTCTTGGCCTTCACAACATCCTCTGGCAAAGAGTTCCACAGACTGTGCATAGTGTGAAAAAATACTTCCTTTTGTTTGTTTTAAGTAGAATCTGTAAACTGGTATAAATGCGTAGCTAAGATTGAAAGTTTGTCTTTGATTTTTCTTAAAGATCACAGATTATTCATGATCACTGCTATAGACATCCAGCACTGGTCTCCATTATACTCACACAGGGCTGGGACCCAGGAAACCTAGAGTTAGAGGTCCCCAGACTAATTTTTCACCTGGGAGGACCAGCACTGCCCAGCCTGCTACCTCATGGCAACTTTCTTCTGGCAAGTTGTCTACAAGTGAGCTACCTGCATTGCTGTAGCAGGCTGCATGGCTTCTAGCCACAAAGGGCACGTCAGTGGCATGCTACTGGACTAAGCAAGAGAGTGAGAGCCAGAAACTTCTGCATTTTAACCCATGCTCTGATAACTTAACCCCCTTTGTGGCTTTAGTTAGGTGATTTATCTATCTAGAAAACAGAGACAATTATTCTTACCTTCCTCACAGGGCTGTTGTGAGAATGAATGAGTAAATGAATTAATGAAGGACCAAATTGAGCAGAATGCATAAACACTCCTCCAGGGGGGGCCCCCAGCTTATTAGAACAGCTCATCTTGGCAAAACAAATTGTTAATCATTGGCAAGGATGCATGGGTCCCAGCACAAACAGCTGGGCTCCCCTTCCTCCAACAGCAAGACACTGGTGGGGACAAGAAAATCCCCACCCCCAGCTTTTTATAAAAAGCTCATTGCAGGACCGCCCCAGAGAATCACTTTGCTAATTGTAGGTAGGAGTCAGTTATGCTGCGGTGGTTTCATAGATCCAAGCAAATATATTATGGCTCATTCTGGTAACATAAGCTAAGAAAAGCACTGGGTAATCCCATGCTGGGTGTATCTCCAGAAACATAGTAAATGAGAAAAAAGTTACAAAGACACACAAGAAAGCTCAAGTTCAGGGTGATGCTGAGTAATTCCAAGATATCGAACCCCCCAATCAGTTAGCTCACAACAATACTGATCTTGAAAAATACACAGTATGGCAAGGGCCAGAAGGAAATATCGGCACAATACATTCTTAGCGGTAGACTAAGACCTAACTTTTAGCCCTTTTGTAAGGGGCACCGCATAGCTGTGCCGCCTTCGGGGAGGCTGTGGGAAGGAATTGTGTCTCAGTCAGTCACCAATCCTTCTAGTTTTCCCCTGAGCTCCAGAGAGGAGGGAAGTTGCTGCAGTCACTTTTATAGGGCAGGGATTACATCCCCTCCTTCGTTGGCTAAGCTACGCTGGCAGGCATGTTGGTAGACCAGACTCTGCTCACTGTTGGGTCAAGCTGTGGATTCGAAGAGCTTGCTGACCCAGCTCCTCACCACCTTGCCCAAAGCAGAAACAGGTTGGCCACATAGCGGGGTGGGCCTTGTACTCCCTTACTCACTTGTATGGCAGGAGATTTAAACACCAAAGGACTTGTCTACATGAGAAAGTTGCACTGGATTCACTTAAGGTGTGATTTTAAACTAATTTAATTAAACCCATTGAATGGCTGTGTGGATGCTCTTATTTGACTTTAAACCAGATTTATTCCAGATTAATTTAAACCCATTAAGAATAGACAAACTAAACTAAACCAGACTAAGGGCCTGTCTTCACTACCACATTAAATTGGTGCCCCTGCATTGATGCAGCAGTGCGGACGTAGCACGTCCAGTGAAGACACATTACATTGACGGGAGAGCACTCTCCCGTCGACGTAATTACTCCACCTGAGCAAGACACCCGATGTAAGTTACGTCACTCAGGGTGGTGTTTTTTTTCACACCCTTGAGCAACATCACTTACATCCACTTAGGCGGTAGTGTACAAAAACCCTAAGAGTGTTCAGACAGGGGTTTGGACCGGTCTAACTTAAATTGGTTGAAAAACGGATTTAAGTTAAAACTTGTGAATCTTCTAGGTGTAGAAAAGGCTAAGAACTTGGCCCGCACAGTCTATGTTTCACCTTTAAGTAGTTCCTTCCAAGCAAATCTAATACTGTCTCAACACTGGCAAAGATAAGTGTTTTTGACTAGAAGGGGAGTAGAATCTGGAGAGATCTCCCACAACACAATCCCTGAAGCACTTACTTGTAGCTTTCATAACTGCGTTTTATGGAGAAAGCTCACTAAAGACCCAGTTCTCAAAAGAACTACACACACCGACATAACTTTAACCCCTGAAAGAAGCCCCATTGAAGTCACAAGCGCCTAAGACTCTTCTTGGGAATGGTGTGGCTGGGTAAACTCTTAGCTTAAACACTATCAGTCCAAAAAGATCATGTATGTCTGAAAGTCAGGGTACAAAAAAGCCCTGACCCAAAGACCACAAAGACCACTGAAATCAGAGGGACTATTTCTACTGACTTTTATGAGCATTAGATCAGGCCTAAAATGTTTAGTCACAAACATCAATCTTTCTGAATGTACCAGATTTTAAATGCTTATTTTCTTCTCCATGGCATTTCTGGTGGTGGTATATAATTGAAATTATTTAACAGAGCAATTGAAATTTTTCCAATGCAACTTTTGTGTGTGTGTGTGGGTGGGGGGAGAATATTTAATGAAAAAATTACCCATTATAAAAATTCTTGTGATTTTTTTCACCAAAATTTTCTATTAGAAATAATTTATTTAAATTGATTTTTTTTTGGTCTTGGCTTCTTGTTATATATTTTTGAAAAAATTTCTTTTTAAATTTTTAAGTAAATAAAAATTCCACCATGTGATTAAACTGACCAATGAAAAGTTACACAGTAGCAAAAAACAAACAGAAAACTCCCAATCAAAAAACACACAGAAAGGAAAAAAACAGGCTGCTTTTAATTTCCTTCCTCTTTTTCATTTAGCAATGCTGCAAATTTTGACTGGTTAGCTTAGTCACTCGGTAGGATTTTTTTTAAACAAAATTTTAAAAATATTTTCAAAAAGTATACCAAAAATCAAAAAATAAAATTTTCAATAAACATATTTTAAAAAGGATAAACCATTTCATGAAAAAATTCAAAAATCAAAAAATTGCACTTCAAAAACTAAAACCAAAAATAATTTCGAGAGTCTGAAAAAAATTATGTTTTTTTTTAAATTTTACCGCCCACTAAAGATAAAACTACGTTCTCATAACCTGCTTTTTATATCCTCTTTTGCAAGCACTTTATACTACACAAAAAAAGTCTCAATAATCTTTTTCACTATACGATTTACACATACAGCATGCCTATTATGTAAAAATAGTGACAGATACACATTTTATATACATTACATTTACCAATCTTGCCAAATTCTACTTTCGTACTTGCAACGCGGAAGCTTTGTTTTTACAAAGACTACAATATTTTGTTTTTCTCATAATCGATTATGTTAAAGGGTGGGCAAATAACACGTTTTATATTTACACACACACATCCATATAGATACGTACACACACACAGTTATGAAAAATATAATCTATATTATGCACACACATCCATATAGGCGCGTGCACACACACACACACACACACACACGGTGAAATCCTGGCTCCTCTGAAGTCAAAGGGAGTTTTGTTGTTGACTTCAGTAGGGCCAGGATTTCATGCACGGTTTCTGTCTTTCTTAAGAAATATTTAAACGTAACTGTTCTGGGAAGAATGAGGTTATTTTAAGTTAAAAAAAAAAAATACGGAGAAAAACAAACATGAAATAAGTGCAGAAGTCACTCCGAGGTACAGGAGGCTCCTGAACATTGTTTCCACCCACCATGGTGACTCATGACCTGCCCAGCAGCCTCCATACTGACATTCTGAAGATAGTTGTGGCAGCGTTCCTTGTGTTCCTCCAGCGAACTGCGCTGCTTGTAGCTCCGGCCGCAGTAGTTACACTTGTGAGGCTTACCCACTGTGGAAAGAACAGAGCTTCAGGTTAAATTGTCATCTGCACCCAAGTTACATCTCCGTTACAAGCAACAAAGGGTACGGAAAGACATTTACAAAGGTCATTTAAGTCCCAACCCTTTTCCCCTTGCCCTATTTTCCCACCCCCCACGCACCTCCGCCCATCTACCATACACACATCACCCTACTGATTATTCACACTGACATTCACAAAAAGGCTGACTTGGTAGCAAAGCCAATAAGCAGATTGCACCTATGAGGAGAAACAAGCAGCTGAATCACAACCAGCCTATGACTGTGTATCACCAACCCTGGTGGGAAAACTTAAGCAATTTTATCCATAGCGTCAGCATTTGCCCTCACATAAGCTTGCTGGCCTACTTCAACATCAAAGTGGTGGGGATGGAGTTACATGACACGAGCAAGGTCTCCTTTGGGTCAGCCTATTTTGCCAAAATGGTATGTCAGAACTGAGCAGTCACCATATATATGGACTGGCTAGTTAAAAACAAAAAAACGACAAACACACACAGGCACACACACAACCAGGAAGGCTGCACAGTAAAAACAGACTCAATGAAGGCAAGAGACAATTCCTATATTATTTTTAGTTTCACTCAAGAGCAACATGATCTGGCAAAGGTCTTAATAGGCACAAAACCTGGCACCAGATCCTAGTAAAGTGAAGCCCTTTCATAGCATGTCATGAAGAAACCACAAAAATCGCTTAATCCTAGAGCTAGAAAGCTAGCCAAATGGTATGTTTTGCCAAAACCATGTTAATATTTTTTTTAAAATACATATTACATATAGAACATGAACATATCCGGTAATAACTAGAGGGCTATTTATTCAGTACTGGAGGTTTGGCAATCGCATTAGGAGGAGACTTTCAAAGCTGCCTGGGGGGGGGGTTAGAATGTTCAATTCTCAAATGCCTTACGCAGCTTTGAAAAACTAAGTCATAATTTTTAAACAAAGACCAGGCAAATGTGTTCTTTGGGATAATATAGGTGTATTCAGTATGTTTCTCCCAGTATAGGAGGGTGGATGTCTCCCAGGCCTGGTAATAGGATACAGTCCTTCACCTTTCAATTATCAAAGGAAATCCAGGTCCTACTAATTGTAGCCAAAAGCTACTATTACCATCTCATGACTGTTGGGTGTCTCACATGAAGTACGATGGTGATCTCAGTCCAGTTCTTACTGAAGAGGTATTCACAGCATAAAAGCCACCTGCACCTGGGTATTTGGGTGTATGCATGTACCCCAATGTGTTGGTCTGGGTCCTTTAAAACTGGGAGTTGTAGTTGACACATGACAAGGAGCAAGCATCTGTGCATTCCCTCTGGGGCACCTGGCATTGGCCACGGTCGGAAGACTGGATACTGGGCTAGATGGACCTTTGGTCTGATCCAATATGGCCGTTCTTATGTTCCCTGCAGAAAGCCAGATAAAAGGCTTCCTGTCTCTGTGGTAGAGCCAGCAGACAGAAGAGACCCAGGGTCAGGAAGGTCATATGGGGTCTCTCTCCACAGTAGCCAAGAAATAAAGGGAGTGTGTCCCCTCTCCCCTCCTGGCTGGTGGAAGCAAAGAAAGCCTCAGGCGGTCAAACATTTTCCATCAAAACTTTTTTTTTTTTTTTTAAATAGAAAATTGGGTTTTCGATAAAATGATTTTTTTTTCCAGAAAGTCTCTGCTTTCCTCAAATATATTTGATGAAACCTCAAAATTTTCTGCGGGGTAAAAAGAAATTCCAGTCACCTCTAGTTAGCGCCCAGGACTGTGAGTTTGTTTGCTCTTGTTCTGGAACTCCTATTTAGAAATCAAGGCAGCTCTAAGGAAAAGGTCTTGGACTGACTGGTTGTCGGGGGCATTATTCTACTTACACCCCAACAGGTGAGTTTGCCCACCAGTTTACACCACCATCGTAACTGGCATTTTTGCTGGTAGTCTCAGCTGAGACCAAGGATTTGGGACCTGGTCCGAAGCCTACTGAAGTCAATGGAACGCACTGATTGAAGTCAATAGGTTTGGACTAGGCCACAAATATTTATGGATGCTAAACTAGCTTCTCACTCCTGGAAGTGGTTCTTATAGAACACCTTGACTGGGCAGAATAGGAAAGCTTCTTTTACCACAACTCATATTGTCCTCGTTGTGGAGGGAAGAGACTTCAGTTTCCTACACTCTGGTTGCTTTCCTGAGAAATAAATGCACTCAGGACCTATTGAAGTCAAAGGGATTGATTACATTGATTTGAGTTAGCACTGAGTCTGACCTCCAATTTTCTAAAACTCCAGATATCTAAGCAATTACACTTTGTAAAATAATTTGGCTAATCCAGATAATCAGATTCCTTATATGCACTGTAAGGCATGAAGAAAAAGCCCAGGTACCTTCAACTCTCAAGAAGCATCAGCCTCTAGTATTAGTTACATGTATTATTGCTTAGTGTATTCAATTTTTTTGCTATAATTCAGAGGCACTAGATAACATGTCTTGACTCCTGTAATTATAACAAGTGCAAGCAAAACTGACGAAGTTATCATTTGCATTCCCCACTTTCATAAGGACCATTTGACAAATTGCATATGATCAGTGAGACTGAGATTTTCAAATGTGTCTAAGGTGTTTATGTGCCCAAATCCCATTGAATTGCAAGGCTTATAAAAGATGCTAAAAGCAATAGTATACAGTGGATTTCCCATTTAATGTCATATTGAAACCAAATCTGAACCTTTGGCTTGGGCCAGCCCCCACGGGGAGGAGGGCGGGGGGAGAAGAGAACCACCCAACCCCACTCTGCTCCCAGCTCTGCTCCTGGCCAAGGTTCTGCTCCTGGCCACGTCGCCCAGCTCCGAGCCCTGACAGTGGGCCCAGCTGCAGCGCTGGTCTTGTTCCCAGCCACAGTTCCTGGTTCCCACTCCCGGCCATGGTTCCTGGCCACGGTTCCTGGCTCCTGGTTCCCAGCCATGGCCCTGTTTCTGGCCCCTGACCACAGCTCTGGCCCTGGTCCCAACCCCGGTTCCCTATCACAGCTCTGGCCCCGGCCCTGGCTCCCCACTGAGGTGCTGGTCCTGTACCCAGCCCCTGCTCCAGACCGCAGCCCCCAGGAGGGAGGGGGCGGAGGGGCATGGACCAGATAAGGGCGGGGGGGGGGGGGAAAAAAGTTTGGGGACCACTGGTTTAAGGAAACTTCTTTTAAGTCATAAAAAAGGTCCACACAAGCAAAAGTGCCGGTACGGCATTCACACTGCATTTTGTTCTCAAATGAACTGCAAATACATAACAGAATGCAAAGTAAGTCAAAGGGAAACTAGCCATGGAAAAGAATAAGGCATCCCAGGTAATAATGTGCCATAAGCACACATGACAAAAGCTTGTAGAAGATGCTAAAAGCAATGGTACACACGAGGGGTAAAATCCTGGTCCCACTGACTTCAGTAGGCCCAGGGTATCACCACACATTTCTACATGTTGGCAACCATGTTCTGTTTTCTACAGCAGCCTGGAAAAGGATTCCTTCCTTTCCACCTGTTCCTAGTTCTACCCACTGTGCATAGCTCAGCAGTCAAGATATGTGTTTGAAGAAGGCACTGGCCCACTACATTTGTTAGAGACTTAGGTCTCGATTGAAAGCCCACTGAAATCAATGGGATTCTTTCCACTGACTTTCATGGGCTTTGGTTCAGGCATTTAAAGTCTGAAAAATTCTGCAGACAGGAATTAAGCTCCCGATTTCTGAATTCAGCCTTGCAATTTGAAGTTGTCTGGCTTTTGGCTTGAGATGCTCTGTTCGAATCACATCCTGGGCTTGGCGTCTTGTGGTGAAGTTTAAACTACAACTGAAACCCTGACACCTCATGCAAGGTTGGCAGCTGCTATTTGATCATCACTGTTGTTGAACCAGCCCAATACTGCAAAAAATATTGAAGACATTTAATTTTAGCACACACTGTCAGGGACAGGGTCACAGCTGTGAATTACTATTATCACCATCATTTAACATTTATATTGCAGTAGCACCTAAAGAACACAAACAAGTTGCACCTCATTGTGTTTGCTGCTGTACAAATAATAAATGATAGTCCTGTATTCAAGGAGAATAATTAAGTAAAGTGTTGAATTTTTAGAACCACTGTTAGCTCTGAAAGTAACTTAGCTATAAGCAATGCCAATAATGCTACTCAAATAGGGCATATGTAATAGTTTCCATTCAGGAATGTCACAGCATGAAGCCCATGATGATTAGTATCACTTTATATTTAAAACAGAGCCTTTCATCAAACTTACTTAAACAATACACAATCTGTAGGAGAATCAGCACTGAAATGTAGCTCCCTCAGATGTGGGATTTGACAGCTGTTTCACAGCGCATCGGAACGCTATACAACGTGTTAGGGGGGAAAATGAAGGACACTGCTCTTACATACCCAAGTGTAACTTCTGTATGACATCGTTGTTTGATAATTATAATAAATATCAAACATTTAGTTGTGTTCAGTCCTGGGCACTTCTTTATAAGAAAGATGTTGACAATTAAGAGGCAGTTCTGATAAGAGAGCCTAACTCTTTAGGAATGATTTGGACAGAATTCTGCACTCAGTTACACCCGTGTAAAACTACTCTACTGAGATCAGCTTTAAGCAAGGTAGGAAGTTCGGTTCTGTGGGTAAGGCCTGCGTCTGTGACTCTAGAGACCTAGGTTAAATTCCTGGCTCTACCAAAAACTGATTGTGTGACCTTGCAAAAGTTCCACGGTCTTTCCTTGCTATTGCTCCCCATATAGAGATAATTCTCTACCTCAGAGGTGTTATGAAAATAAATGTATGAAAGTTGTGAGCTGATCACACACTAAGGCAATGGGGGTCATACAAGGATGTAGAAGAATTTGGACCATATCTATAGCCTGACAAATCAAGAGCTTAAAAAGAAGGGAGAGAGATGATAACAATATACCTGATATTGGAGTAAACATCGAAGAGGAAATATTTAGGGTAGTACAGTTGAGGGTAGGGAATGAGTAGGAGTAAGGAGTAAGAATTAAAAAAAAAAAAAAAATTTAGGCTGAATATCAGAAACATTTCCAGATACATTGTCCTATTAAGCAGGGAAGGGTCATATGGTTTAGCGGGTACTAAGGATTAGTTTGAAAAACATTGTCAAGATAAGACAACAAAGCCTTCCCAACAACATACAATATCTCGGGCCTGTAATTAAATCAACACACTTTATTTTCTTGAGCTGCCTGTCCCCAAAGCTTCACACAGACAAATATTTGTACGAGTAACAGACCCTGAATAAAGTATCGAAAAATTAAAATCAAACCTGAATGCACTCAGGCTCTGAGCAGTACACAATATACTCCTGCTTCCCCTTCACAACCAGCTGCTGCTGCTTAATGATTGTAAATGTGTTCATTGAAATTCATGGGGGCTCTTTGATTTTTGCCTGGGAGATTACACACCCACACCAATCTGCAGGATCCAAGACATCGGCACCCAGAAGCTGGCGAGTTTACAGAGCGAATAAACGTGAACATACAGAAATGTGACTAGTAATTTAGGGTGTCTCAATTTTTGAGCGTCCAGCTTAAGACCTCCTTAACGGGGTCTGATTCTCAGAAAAGGGCTGAGCACCCACCCTCTGAAAGTCAGGCATTTTATAAGGCATCTCATGTTGAGCACCCAAAATCATTAGTCCGTACTGAAAATCTTGGCTGTGATTTTTAAAAGGGTGAAAGTTTTGCACTTGTCAGTCCAAAATGAAGTAGCAACATGTGGGATAAATTCTAATGTCTGATCCACCTGGCGGATCACTTTAAGGCTATTTTGTTCCATAATGTGGATCAAAGAGAAAAAACTTTAGCTCTGAACACAGTCTAGTCCCATCACTGCACAAGAGCATGAGTTGGGAATGAAAGACCTGCCTATTAATGAATTGTAACACAAGAAAGCAACATCATAGCATTGCTTGGGGAAAAAAAGATAAAACAGGTTCTAAAACATGGGCCAATTCTTCAAACGGTTACTCACATGAGTGAGGCTTTGCAGGATCAAGGTGTTTATATGTGCTGTTGTTGGTTTCTTTTAACTCACGGGTGGACAGATGGTGTTTCACCTTTGAAAGTTTCCGTATTGTTCTAAGTTGGGTATATAACACAGAGTTTCTCCAAACTTGGGAAGCTTAATTCTAAAAGTACAGGTTCAAAATTTCTAGCATAGTACTACAAAGATTGTAGCCCTAAACACAATTTATGCAGTTGCAACAACTTTCTTGACTTTGAGCTTGAAAAAAAGAGAACTCCTATCACTTCATTACTTCCTGGCCTGGTGTCACAGATCTGAAGGTTAATATCAATTACTTGGTTCACAAATGCTTTGCAAACTACAAGGCTGTTCTGTATTTCATGCCCTTGCTGGCAATTGAAAGACGGCCCATCCTAACTTTCAGTACCAGAGTCAACAATAAGTCACGATTCTTGTCTTTAATTACTACATGCTGTCCTAGCAATCCTATCCTGGAATAGTGCAGTCTGTCCTATAACACCATCCATAGACTTGGAGTACAGCAGCCTGTATTAAAACAATGGCGGAACATTTACACTTATTTTCACTCTTTTGTTTTCTAGACACACCCACCTTGTCTATAAATACCTCCGGGGCACAAAACAGCAGCCGACACCTGCGCTTACCTGGCAGTTGTTTCTGTTATTGTAAACCAAGCAGGCTAGCAGTGAAATACTGTACAGCCAACATTTAGGCCTGCCTGATCTTCTGCAATGAGAGGCGCTAAACATCAGGTTACATATTAACTCTGAAAACGTTATCCCTGCCAGAGTTTGGCTAGAATGAACTGATAAAACAAAAATAGGAAAGAAAGTATATTGTTCAGAACACATTGTTTCAAACAACAATAGTTTCTTTATACAAAATATCTGGGCCAGGTTCACAGATGGTGTAAATCAGTGTGTGCCAATGCCAATTTATAACTGAGGATCTACCTACCCCGTTATTCATTTGTAAAGATACTTCCATCTACAGACATTCACGCTTTACTCTAAGATTTCGCTTGCATTTGCTGTGGATTATTAGCTCGGTTATTTAATCTGATTAATCAGATTACATGTTTATTCATTAATCTGCAGTAGTTTAGAGATACAATAATGATCCCAACTACCCTCAAGAATAGAAACAAGTAGGTGGAGTGAATGCCAAAAGTTAAAAAAAAATTAACAAACATCCATTTCATTGGCACAGTTCCTCTAAGTATCTACATCTGTCTATCCATCCAGATACTTACATGAGTCACCCAATCTCCGAGAATTCCTTAAATATTTTAAAATAGAACACTAATAATCTCTCGCCATCTCTTTGTCCTTTCCAGGCCAAAGGAGAAATAGCTCAATTAGTTTCTAGGCTGGCTTGTTTGTATGCTGTGTATTTGTATGTGCTGTCTCTCTATGAGCGGTGCTTGCAAAGAACT